CTCTTTCGGGCTGCAGCGGGGAAGCGGCGCCCCGAAAGCAAAGAAGAAACCAGCCGCGGTTAAGAAGCGCAAGAGCTCGGCGAAGAAAAGCACAGAGGCTCCAAAGCCCCATGACGCCCGAGGGAACATCAGCCCGGCTGCTTCAAGAGCCAAGGGGGTTAGCAGGAGTCCGGGCAAACCCAGGGGGACGGTGGCAACACGAAGAAAGCAAATATTAGATGACATTATTAAGGGCACTTTCCTTATGGAGTGAGAACTCAGAGCAGGGGGCGAAAAACAAAACGGTTCTTTTCAGGACCATCTCGCAGGGCTCATGGAAAGAGCGAATCTCTTTGCTTGCTCTCTCGCGTCCTGTTTTGTCAGGCTGCGCTTTCAGAGGTTCAGGAGAGCTATGTGTTGTGGAGTTGTCAGTGTTCAGTGGTGCAATTAATGAGGAATGCAGTTAAGTATAGGCCACGAATTCCAGCAACAGCATAAATCAGGGAGCTTTTGAAGTAGCTGTGTGGAAGGGGTTTATGGTAATTTTATTGGCTTTGTTTTTTGACTTGGGTGAAGAAGTCAAAAGAGCGCGCGTACGTGCTAACGCTCTTTCAGGGAAAGTTTTGGAGTGGCTCTTAAAAGAGCCTTTGATTTATTTATTTTTTTCCATTCAAATGACTGAATATATTTATTTCTGCCTTTTAGGACTTGCCCTCGGGAGACGTTTCCCACTGCATAAAGCATACAGACGAAGTGGCAGTGTCTCCAGATTCCTCTATCTGTTCCCCAGGCTCTTCTGGTTTCTTGCCTTTTTTCTTCACTTTTTTCCCCTTCTTGATGTTCTCAGCCTCCCGCTTCTTCGGCGACTTGGCTTGGTTCACCAGCTGAGGCGGCAACGTCGTTTCTCCGATGAGTCGGTAGGAGCCCGGGACCTTGAGCAAGATATTCATGGCCACCAGCTTCCGGAGCCCCGCTTTGATGCGGGCTTTGTTCTTCTTGACATTGACCCCCGCTGCCGCCAGCTCTTTCCTGATGACGCCCAGGGAAACCTCCCCGGACTGCTTGGAGAAATCCACGGTCTGGAGAATGTAGTGGGCGAAACCTTCGCGGTCTTTTCGGGTTGCCAGCACCTTTTTCCGCTTCGTTCTCTTGCTGGCTGGAGCCTGGGACTGGACAGCCGGCTGATCCGTGTTCATCTGGGTAGATACAAGAGGCGCTGCCGTGTTTTCTGGTTTTGCTGGCTCAGACTGTTTTCTACTTGCGACAGAGCAGCTTGAGTTGCCTCCTGAGCCTCACGCAGCCGCATACCGAAGCTAGCGGCTGCAACCAGAGCAGGGGTAATTATACTCCAGTGTCTGACGCAGCCGAATCAACCTCGTTCCATTTCCCCGCCTCTCGAGAGTCCTCAGCATAAAAACCTGCCCTTTTAACTCCAACGAAAACTTCCTAAGCCCTTCACTTTCGCGTGTTACAGTCACGGTGTGTGTGAGAATGTTTCTTTTACCAGGGTTTGGTGGGGATCAGATCAAATAAAACTATCTCTGGCGAGGAAAATATACAAAACGGGTGTGTGTGAGAATGTTTCTTTTACCAGGGTTTGGTGAGGATCAGATAAAATAAAACCATCTCTGGCGAGGAAAATATACAAAACTCTCGGGTTTGCTCCCCAACTAAGAAGAAGCGAAGAAACAACATTCGTGATCTTCCCCTTCAAATTATTGCTAAAATGTCACCGGCTATGTCTCTAGAATAAGGTTAAGAAAAGGGTTTACCCATTATGGGGTTCTAATTCCCTAACTAATACTGTAAAGAGGAGGCAGCATTGGTTCTGTTTTTGCTTGGCTTCCCTAATGAGCTAAAGAAAAAAATAAATGTTTGGATCCTTAATTTGCATATCAAGGGAACGAGATGTGATGACTAGGTGAAGAAGTGAAGTGTGAGAGCTGTACTAGCTGCAGGTTAGGCGATAGGCGGTTTCAGTCTTCTGTCAGGTCCGATATGGCCTAATAAAGGAGAACTTGGTTCGGCTAGGTGCTATTTCTCCGAAGGGAAACAGATGCAGAGAGAGTTTAGCGCTTGTATGATTAAACAACCTAGGTTTATACTTATTGGTGATGGTGTGAAAAAAGATGTTGAAAGAGTAGGAAGAAGGTTTATTCTGCTGAAGTAGGCTCATGGGGGTGCAGCCCTGTTTTCACAAGCATCCCTAACTTTATCGCGAATCACCTATCATGACTGTTCATATACAATAAGTTCGGGGGAGTCGGTCCTAAGGAAGTTGAGGCTGTAGTGTGTTTATTGCTTGAGAAAAAGGTTAAGGAGAGTGCATCCGGTGCACTCCGGGTTAACAGGCCACTTCTAAATAAAGTTTGCTGCCTGACTGGCAGAGGGAGAAAGCAATGGATAGCAGATCCTTAAGGGCCACCCACTTTTCCATAAAAAGAGCCGCTATGTAGCGGAATCGGAACTTGTTTAAATTATGAAAGTCAGTACAGATTTGGGGTAAAATGGAAATTTTGGTTGGCGGTTAAGCGTCCCTTCCCTGCAGCCGGCTCCGCTGCTTTTTGGATCGTTCTATGATGTTTTTCTTTCCAGTTCAGTCATATGCACACAGAATCAGTTCTAATTCTAGTTAGTCTGCTTATGTGTTAAATTGGGGGTACAGAAGGAGAAAATTCAGAAAATGCAGCCCACTGGGGATTTCCCTTCTAGCAGCAGCCAGTTATCTTGTCCTCAGAGAGTGATTTGGTTTGTCCTTTTTAGAGATTTTCCCCTCCATTTCTTCCCTCTCCCTGTAGTGCTAGGTGTAAATAATCTTCTTTATATAACTATCCCAGCCTAAAGTATTGTCCTCGATAATTTTGAATCCTATTGGATAATTATTGCGTAAGTCATTGTCCGTTTTAAAGGTATTAATTTTTATTATATGATTATATTGACTGTCACCTTAGTCTTATAATGTGAAACAGCAACTGTAGCACCTGAATTATCAACTTCAAATAAAAAGCTCCTCCATATTCTCATGCTGTGAACTTGACACTTGACTCATCGATAGCTACTGGCCACTTTTGGAAATTATAGGTTAATACCTTTACCGCAGACGCATAAAACAACCGCGTTCTAAATTATTCACAGATATGTTTCAACAATACATACAATAAAATGTCTTCTGTAAAATCTAAAGTATCATATATATTTTTAGTAAAGGGAGATGCTAAATATATATCTTAAAACAAAATAATGATTTATCAAACACAGGCAACTAATTATTCTTGGTCTGTTACATTTTTTCTGTGTTTGTATTACATAGTTCCTGCAATTTTTGCTCTTCCTACGGAAATTTATTGATGTTTTGACATTTAATTAGTCAGATCACGAGAGTAGGATGCAACCTCATGTATATGTATGTGCTTACATTTAACGTCTTTTGTAATGCTCTACTATGACAGAAAACTAGAGATTTATTTTCTTTTGAAATTAGACAAATCCTGTCAGATTCCCCTAGGTGAGCATAGGAAAGCCTACGTGTGTTTCTTGTTTGTTTTTGGAAAGGCACTGCATAAAAAAGAAAGGAGGAAATAATTTCATTTCTTAATGTAGGATACCTCACTCCCCATCAATGCTGTTCCTTCGATATCTTGAGAGCAGGTACAGAAATGAAATTTTAATTTAAGATTAAACCCAAATGTTCTTGACTGTCGGGGGATAAATCGAGGATTTGTGGATTTCTGCCACCGGGCGCTTGTTCGCAGGATCAAAAACATGCAACGAATGAAAACATGTAACAGACCTAGGCTGGGAACGTCCACTTTAATTGAGCAAAAAGCCAATGGGACTTTTAAAATTAGACATAAATGGAGTTGTAGAAACACAGATTGTGAGGCGCTGGGGGAGGCAAGAGGAGGCTGATTGATTCAGTTGCGTCCGCTGCCAAGGCGCTAGGCGCGCGAGCGACGGAATGGTTGAGTCAGTTGCGTCGGGTTCTGCTCTATATAAACTCGGGCAAGGCAGCCAGACAGATCAGTTTGGAGAGCTCCTGGAAGCGGTGGGTGTGGTTGGTTGCGTCGCAGATCTGCAGGAGGCGCCAGCGGCTGGAGGAGGAGGCGGCGAGGTGGAAGTGGCGGCGGTGGCCTGACCAGTCTTTTGCCTGTGAATGCAGCAGGGGAGAAATGCGAAAAATAACCTCGGTTTCCCACGCTTCTACAGAAGTAGCTGCAGCTACTTCTGTGGTGCCCAAGAAGAGAGGGAGGCCGTCTCTTCCAGATCTCATTCTCCGAGCTGTCTGCTTCGCCACAGCCCGTAAAGGCGCCTCTCTGGTTGCCATCAAGAAGGCGCTGTTGACGGACGGCTACGACGTGCAGAAGAACAACGGGCGCCTGAAGGCGGCGCTCAGCAATCTTGTTAGCAAAGGGCTCCTGCAGCGGGTCACGGGCAGCGGCATCTCGGGGTCCTTCAAGCTCAGCAAGCAGCAGAAGGGAGGCGCCCTGAAAACCACGCAGAAAAAAACGGCCGTCAAAAGACCCAAACCCCAGATCGTGGCCCGGAGGACTCCGAAAAAAATTAATCTGCCGGTAGCTAGAACGGCAAAGGGAAGTAAATTGGCTGTTAAGAGACCTAAAGCGCACAGGGATCCGGCCAAACCCAAGGAGAGACCTGCAGTCCGCGGTAAAGCCGCTGTCAAGAGGCATTAATCTGAACTAACATAAAACTCAAAGGCTCTTTTAAGAGCCGCCCTCAATCTTCATTAAAGGAGCTAAGGTTCCGATGGGAGGGAATGAAAACTGCCTTGAATTTAAGATACAATGGAAATTTGTAGCAGGGGAAATTTTACTTAGTTTTAGTCTATCCTATTCAAGAGTAGCAAGATAACATAATGTAAACAAATAGCGAACGTTGCTATGGGGCAATTAAAAGTTTATTAACATATCGATTACAAGAACTGTCCCTGGGAAAAAAAATGCTTCATAATATTAAATTTTATATCCGCGTTTCTTCACAACTGCGGGATTCCAAAAAAGAATTGGAGCCCGGGGTTTTCAGTGCTGCCTTTCCTAAGGCACAGTGGTAAAGTGCCGCCCAATGACAGTTCAGGCCACCTTCCCTTGCCCAGTCCTTGTCCTCCCCCACAAACTTTACCAATGTCTTCTCAAATTCGTACCCTTGCCTCTACCACTGAGCGCAAAGCTGTACAGTAGTTCCCGTTTTGTTGGGGGTGGGGAGGGTTGTTTTGGCCCTATAGCGGATTGTGAGGCTTTCGCAGTCTTGCCGTTGGAGCGAGGACAAGACAGATTTCTGGGGAGGTGCCACAGCAGCAGCTGGCGCCTAAAACGGTTCGGAAGAGAGTGATCTTGCTGCAAGTGAGATCAGCGGCGATCGATTTAGCACGGTGGAGCTACAGGTGGTTTGCTATTGTCCCTGCTTCCTAAACGCGCCTTTCGAGCGCCTGGTCAGAAAAGTCGCTCAGGATTTCAAGAGCGATCTTCGTTTTCAGAGCTCCGCTGTCCTGGCCCTGTAAATAAACTAATGAAGCTTACCCCGTGGGGGTCTTATTGGGAAACAATAGAAATTGGTGTGCTATTCCAGTGAGCGAGGCACCTTCCTCAGGTAGATTTCCAAGCGATCTTCTTTATTCTTACTACAGTAGGAGCTCATGCAGCTGGACCCTATCCCGTGAACACTAGAATTATGATCAAGGCGCTGTGTTCTTGCAGTAGGAGCTCATGCAGCTGGACCCTATGCGAATACTGGAATTATGATCAAGGCACTGTGTTCTTCCTAGCACCTGGGAGAGGAACGTGGGAATGAAACAAAAACCTTTTCTGGGCCACAGCTCTTGTATTAAGGAAACAAAACAACATTCCCCCCCCCCCCCCACCCCCCCCCCACACACACACTCCTCACACATTATTTTGGGTGCTCCCTTGTGATTTTCCCAAAAAATCCATGTACCAAAAATAAAAATAAAATCCCCGCCCAGCTTTGTAAATAGATCGAAGTTAAATGAAGAGATATTAGCAACTATTTCATGGTAGCACGATATCAAACTGAAACCCCAACCAGGAATGATAACCCCACACACCTCGTGAAAGAGTAGGAGCAAAGTCACTTCCCCCTAGTTTGGTTGGTTGGTTGTTTTGTAATGAAGCCATTCCTTATTTTCCTTCAATAGTCGGTGCCGTGTGACTGGTTTCCAAAAAAAACCAAGGACAAGGCGGATCGGCGAGACGTTGTATTTACATATCCGGGGAGCGAGGAATGGGTGTTGGCTGTTGAATACGCCAGGGGGCAGTGTTAGCTGAGGACCTGACAAGAAGTCTCAGTCTTCATTCAGGTCGGCTTCACACGAGGTTCAGTTTCGAGCCAGGAGTGTTTGGTTGCCTGCATAGCGAGGTAGTTAATTGGTGGCTTCTGGAGTCCCGTGATCGGGCTCTCAGCTCCCCATCCTCCCACCTCTGAGGTGGAGGAAACGCAGCTGGTGAGGTTGGGTTCCCCCAAGGAGGGTAGTGTGTACGTTAGTTACTGCAAAAACAAAAAAATGGTCCCAAAATGTATAGATCATGAGCTTTCATGGGCAAACCCCACTTCCTGGGATCAACTGGAGTGGAAATAACAGAAACCAAAAGAGAGATGGGTATAACAGCAGAAATATCTTTGACTTGTGGGAGCTGTGCTAACAAGGCTAATTACATGGTCAGGCTGCCTCCTATTATATGTAGCATTTGATGTGGAAATACAGATGTTAATGGCAGGAGAAATTGGGTTTGTAATGGGCCAGCCAGTTAATGTCTTTGTTTAGGCCCAGGGTACGGTATCAAATCTATAGATCAATTCCAGTTCTGCAGCCTCTCTCTGTAATTGGTTAGTGAAATTCCTTTGTGGAAGGATGGCTACTTTTAAGTCCATGATTGAACATAGGCGGGTTAATGGCTCCTAAAATGTCCCCCCTCCCCTCTAGTTTCAAAGCAAAGGGACCCCTGCAGCCACAAGGTGGGCGGGGCTGCAGGGTGAGCTGAGGACCTGCCTGGTGCTCCCTGCTGCCTCTGCGGGCCAGATCTGGTGGCTTGGCGAACCGGATTTGGCCTGCAGGTCGGATTTTTCCCAGGTCTGCTCTAGCAAGACTGGCTTCCCTTGGGGGGCCCTCTGGGGTCAAAGGCAAGGCCCTTGAGCACAGCCTGGCAATGCCTGTAGGGTGGGCCACTGCCTGGTTCCCCTTTTGTTACATGCAAAGCACAAGGAGAGGCTACATGAGCTGGCACCTGCATTGGAGGGTCCCAGCGGCCCTGTCTGTGGGTGCTTGGTGGCTGCAATTGTTGCAGAAGCTGCTCCATTTCACTTCTCCTCGCAAGGTGCTTAAGGTTCCTAGTTTTCCCTGAGCCAAAGGCAAGGCCCTGCCCCATCCCAGAGCAGACAGGCCCCACCCCCAGAGTGGGGAGCTGTCCCCAGCAGGTAGGGACCGTGAGAACGATTTCAGGGACACGCAGGACAAGACGCTCAATGGGCACCCACAGGGCACTGCTGTGGGGAATGTGGCTCCAGCCGTCACTAGGCACCTGGGCAGAGGGGTAAGCAGGGCCGGGAGGGGACACAGCATCCAGGATACGGAGACTGGAGGCCGCGGCTGCCTCTGGGGCCACATGGAAACAGATGTTGGGAAACAGGAGCTGGGGCAGCAGAGAGCCCCCTATCTCTTGACTTCAGTAAGATTAAGGCGTTTGATATGGTCTCGCATTATCTCCTGATGGTTCTAAACTTCCACGTACCCTTCCACTGTGGCTTCAGCTGGTGTCTGCATATCATGTTTTGCTTTCTTCCAGTGGGAATTAGCACCAGTGGTCCGGGCAGCTAATTTATCTGCCCTCCCTCCCCCCAGAGTTTTCAGGTGCCTAGGTAGTCTCTGGAACCGCCAAAAATCTGAAATGACTCCCCTGTTTTGGGGCTATGGGGTGGGGTGGCCTTGGAGTTGTGGATCTTCCAAAGTGATGGACTGCCCAGCAGCCAACCCTCTGAGCTGGCCAGCACTTTCCGTCAGAATCCTGCTTGCGATTGAGCTAAAGTCTCTCCTCCCGAACACGGTCTTGGGACGTTTGCGGGCTCCGCGAAGCAGCGTGTCCCAGCAACACTGGTTTGGCAGAAAATGTCAGACCAACCCTACAGCCTATTGTGTGATCACTGCTGGTCCAGCCTTGCCCCTCCAGGGTCCAGAAAGGGGGACCCACTAGAACTAACAGTCTTTCAGCTCCACAGCTGGGGCTAGAACCATCTCCCAACCTCGGTGGATCAGTACGGAACATGACCTGGAATGCCCCGACCAGTGGGTTAAATGATGTAAACTCAGGACGCAGGGCAAAACTCAGCACGCTGCCATCAGTCCAACGGGTGCAAGAACAGATCCTTTGACATTCGTATCAATCTCATGCAGCTTCGGGGTGGCCCAAAAAAGACTAGGAGACGCCACGTTTCTTAGGGGAATAATGTGAGCTCGGAGCCTGTGTCCCCAACCCAGAAGAAGGGGAAGAGTTTCTCCCCGTGGAAAGAAGCCGTGGGGAAGGAGAAGATGGGCGTGTTCTTCTCTGCATTGAAAAACGCCACCTGCCCTCCTTCGTAGTCCAGAGAAATCCGGATTTTCCTGGGGTTCCCGTTCACCGTCAGGCGCGTCACAGGGTTGGTGTAGGCCTGTAAAAAGCTCCCCCGGTGCTGCACCGCCCAGATCCCCATCGCAGAAGTCCATTTGTGCCAGCCCTTCCTTGCCACCGATTCTTTGACCACCCCCATGGCCGACCAGCGCCCCCTGTGGCCCACCTCCACCTCCCAGTAATGCCTCCCAGCGGTGAATCCCTCCCGGCCCAGCACACAGCGAAACGTATCAAACCGCTGGGGGGGAAACAGGAGCTGGGGCAGCAGAGAGCCCCCTGTTTTGAGGGCTGAGGAAAAACACCTTCGGTTTAGCGTCTGCCAAAGGAGGCTGAGGGGGGACATGTCTAAGGGCTCCCCGCAGAGCAAACATTCAGGATCAAAGGGCTGGTTCCTGTTGCAGAAAAAGGCAGAACAAGGCCCGTGGCTGGAAGGGGCAAACAAACAAGCCCATTGGAGAAATGAGGCACAAATATTTCCCGGGGAGGCTGATGCACTGTTGGCACAAGCAGCCAAAACCCGTGAAGGATTCTCCGTTGCTTGGTGCCCTGCAGGGCAGAGGAGCTGCCAGTCTGGTGTGTGCAGGGCTCAGAACGTAGCTACTGGGAGATACGGGGGCTGGGCCGTGCAGGGGGCAGATCTGATGCTCTAATGGGCCCCTCTGGCCTTACCCGCTGCTAAGGACTGACAAGCTGGGAGGGGCCGAGGGAGCAGCCCCTGGGGTGTTACTGCCCAGCCCGCTCGGACCCTGACCCAGCTGTGGTTCAGTGGGGCTCCAGGGGAACCCCACAAACACCCAGAAGGGCCAGCCAGGAGCAGTACACCAGCCTCGCAGAGGATGGCTGGGGGGGTGGCGGTGACATCACAAAGGCCTATTGTATGATCACAGCCTATTGGGGGACAGCGATGACCTCACAAAGAGACCCTGGCAACAGCCACTCAGGACAGAGGTGCCAGGCTGGAGCCAGCTCAGGGTTTCCCGTGGCTGGGCAGCAGCGTGGTGCCGTCCCAGGGTCCCTGCGGGGGCCGGATAGAGAATTAGGACTGATGGGCGGGGTCGGGAGGAGCCTCGTCGGCGTTTTCTCCTTCCCTGCGGCCGGTCGTGTCAGTCCCGGTGAGATGGTCGGAGCCTCAGAGATGTTTGGAGCCTGCTCCGTCTGGTTCCCCTTTGCCTCCTCCCTCGGTCTCGTGTTCTCCTGCATCTTCCTCCCTTTCCCTGCTCCCCCCCTCCACCTAGCAGGGTGGGTGGGTATTCTGGGGAGCTAAGAGGGTGGGAGGCTTCACACAGAGCTGGGGCTG